CCCCCCAATGGGGCTGTGGTGCCCCTGGGACCCCAAGATGGACCTAACTGAGGGGGTCCTGTTGTCTGTGTCTGCAAGACCTGTCTTGGACTGTGTTCCTGTCATCTAAATAAACCTTCTGCTTTACTGGCTGGCTGAGAGTCATGGTGAATCGCAGGAAGCCGTGGGTGCAGGGCCTTGTCACCCCCCACTCCGTGACACCAGTATTGTCATTTTTGTTTGTTTGTGTGTGTGTGTGTGTGTATATATATATATAGATATATATAGATATAGATATATAGATATATATAAAAGCTACTACACTACCTGCTTTACTGTAGTCTACTTTTGCAGAATTTGCCAGCAGAGGGAGCATGTTAACCAAAAAGAGCTGTTTCTGGAGCTTTGCTGTTGTAAAGGCCGATATTACTGATTATTCTAAACAAGCAAGCAACCAAAGGGGGGAGATAAACTCTGATCAACATGGCTAACTGAAAATGTTAATATTTGCTCAATAGAAAATGGAGAGCATTGCTATGGAAAGGAATCTCTTTAGGTCTTAAGACGGTATTAAAAATAATGGAAAAGGGCAAAATATTACAATAAATTTTTTTTTAAATCATACCTTAACATAAATTCTTCTGTGATGATGTGCTACATGATTGAAAGGCAAGTAATGTGGTTCTGAGCTTGATGTCATGCTGATTAGTGTGTCTCCGTTTCTCTTGGATGATTTGACTATAACTTCGGGCTATTTGGGCAGTGCTTGTTGAGGGAGGTTGACACTGATGGCCAAATCTCTCTCCTAACTGACCTTACCACAAGAGTTGATTTGATATGATGATCAAAGTTCCTTTTATTTCTGTCTCTCATCTAGAGAGAGCAGCTCCCAGCTCCTGAGGAAGATTGTGAGAGTGGCAGTGACAAAGAGGATGAACAACCCCAAGTGGTAGTACTGAAAAAAGGGGACCTGACCCCAGAAGAAGTGATGAAAATTAAACAGGAGATCAAAGATGCTTCAAAATCAGGTAAGTACTAAGACATAATGAATTTTAGAATATTAATCTTTTGTTTTATATAGCCCAAAACAAAAAGACAGTAAGCAAATAAAGGAACATGCTTGCAGATGTAAGATTAATTTTCTACAGTTTCCTATTACCTCTGATTCACAATTCCTCATTTAAATAATTTGCCCCAGTGGTTCCCAGGCTGAGCTCTGTAGTTCACATAGCACTTGCCTGAGCTCCAGAGACCTGACTAGTTACACGATCCTGGCTCTGTGGGTCCAGCTGTGAAATAGCAATAAGCTAAAAATACCATGGTTTTGTGAAAGTCATTTTTGGTTCCCTCTCCCCTTCCCTTAATGAATAACCAGCTCAGTGGTGTTTGGTTTAACATTTTGTTTTCAATTTCTGTGCCATTCTGACATATTTAAATGAACATAGAAGAAACTTTAAAATATATGATCCTCAGAACATTAGGGTCTAATTTAAAGCTGTGAATGAAAACTTAACTATCCTACAATGCTAAAAAAGAAGTGATAAGCATATCACTTGTTATGCCTGTTAAACTTACTAGAAACAATAAGAAAGTTGCAGAACTCTCTAGAAGCCTAGAAGGGAAGAGGTCTCAATAGAGTTATAGGTGATAGAAAAGAAGGATATAGCTAGTGTGTGGAATCAACTGTCATTGGTGCAGATAAGACTCTGGAGGCTTCTGGAGGTAGGCAGGACATCTGTTTGCATGGTTCTCTATAGAACTGGGTAGTTCATCATCTTTTTCAACTTCCACAATGTTGAATTCACCTGGTGGTAGTTTCTCATTCTAACACCAGGAAATGTGAAAGCTGATCAGTACTACATATTGGTAATTTAATGTATAGTGACTAACAAATATCTGAATGAATTATCCATTCAACAGGCTGAAAATTGAAAGAAGAGGTAGCAAACAAGCAATTGAATAGATTGAAGTAAATAAAATAAAAGTATTCTTCTTTAGTAAAATGTAAACCTTGACAAGAGTTATCTATCAAGATAGAAAAGATTTGTTTTCCTCCCAAAGTACAGAAAATCATTTTCTTCAGACTGCTTAAGATCAAATGTTCCGTTTTTAAAATAAACCAAAAGGCAGATTTGAATTTAATAAGAAAATTATAATCTTTGACCCAAACATTATTTTGAATGTAGCTCAAATGAGCAATTTAAAAGAAATTAATTTCACCCTAAATATACTCCTCCAGACAGATCTTAACTTGTATGCACAGTACAAGATGCTGCAAGTGATAAAATAGTGGAAAATTAAAGGAGGGACTAAAGGAATCCAGTGACTCAAATGGAAGCTTGTTGGTTGAACATGAGAAATGATTCAGTAATGGCAACAAACAAGTACAGGAAAATATGTTCTTACTTAATGCTGCTTTTGATTCTGTCTGTAAAGACAACCATAGAAAATTGTATCCAAGTTGTTGAAATAGCCATTCAGGAATACAAAGAAGAAAATGACAATAGGGAGGTCTCTAATTTATTGGACAATGTAAGTAAAATATGAAATGAAATAATGTAATGGGTGCAGTTATCTTAGAAGGTTGGTTGTATGGGTGTTCAGAATAATATTCAAACATTGTCAACCCTGAACACATTTCTAAAACATACTGTGGAAGTTCAGAAGTTCCTTCACAATGATAGCTGCTTCGTGGTTTGTTTGTGTGTGTTTGTGTTTTGTGTTTGTTTAAAGTGATGCCCCAGCTTCACAGATGATGATGGAACTCTCAGAGTTTGTGGCTCTACTAAGTAAATTGAAACTAGAAGAGCGCATGAAAAGGACTTTGTCACACATAGCATGCATTTACTCAACAAGCGACTATTTCAAGAAGTTCTAAACTTATAAAAGGAATTGAAGGAGGTTTTGGAGGCTTTGACTGTTTACCAGATGATGACATTGTTGTCTGAGTAGAAATCTCTTAACAACCAAGAACTAGAACTGCACGGGGGGAAATGATCCAGAGAAGCTAGGAATTTTTGCCTGTTTTTCCAGTATGTTTTCCTTCCTCTCAAAACAGAAAAGCTGAAATGTAGCTGCTGGAATGAAATTTTGAGTTCCTTCTTTCTTTTCTACCATTTAAAATAGAAGATACAGTTTTTGTAGTAAAAATTCGTGCTTGTGAAGGAGGTTGTGTCATAGTTAATTGCAGCAAAATTGTGGGAAATTATAGAAGTAAAATTACAGAAGAGAAGACAATTGAATCCAGAATTCTGCCAGTTTTTAAAAGATTTTTCATTCCTGTCCAGCCAGTAAAGCAATGAAAGATTTTTATTAGTAGTGCTTCAGGATTGTGTTGGTCTGATCTTCATGACAGGCTAAGTACTTAACTTGGGAAAACATTATTTGCTTCTTATCTCTATTAAAAAGAAAATACAAAAAAGTGGTGGGCCTTATCAGTTAGTAGACTGGAGGTGGGGGAGAAATCTATTCACAGAATTGCAAACTTTTCATTTCTGAGACTATGAATAATAAGCATAAACCTGTTCACACACAGATATTTATTACTCAAGTATAATGTGCTTTGTGTTTCATTTTGTAAAGGGAAGTGGATTTTTTTTTTCAGCATGTCAAAAACCTCAACCACTCTGAAAAATACATTCAATGGTTTTTCAGGTATTACTTTTCCATGTAAACAATTGATATAGCAGCCACAGGAATCTGCTAATCACTGTGGAGGGGAGGTGGTCTGCATAATCATATATGGAAAGGGAGGTGGTCCACACTATGAAAAAAATCTGAACTGATCTACTCTAATGGGTAGAATAATAATCTGTGTGAAATAAAAGTAATATCTTTCATAAATAGGGTCAGTGAGATGATATGCAAATACACCTGTACAGTTTTGCCACTGTAGCTTAGTCCTGAGCTTTAGCACCTCTGCATTTATCTTCAGTCCTAAGCCTTTGAGTAATGGCTATCAGTTATGGCAAATTGTGTAGGTTTTTGTGATATGGCCAATAGTAGTAACTTGGGCTTTAGAACCACTGTTGCAAGGGGCCACGTACTAGTTACAATCAGGGGCTCTGAGACACTTCACTGTGATGACTGCTGTTCTCTTGCCTAGACATTGCATTGTCTTAGGCTTCTGATGCTTTGCTTGACTGCCAATGAAGTTAATATCCATGGGTTCATCTCCTGCCTTTGTTCTGTTGACTTGTGTTAACAGTGGGAGCAAACAACATAAGTGCTAGCATTTGCATCTGTGCTAGGAGATTTCTGCTGTGAAAGGGCCACATGTGAAAGTTTCTACTGCCATGTAGATGGCTGTGGTGTGATGGTACTGCAGCTCTCTTTGATCATCTTTACCTTGCCAACCTAATTTCCAGTTATAAGGATTCAAACTCAGGTCTCTGTTAACCATTGGTAGGTACAGCTGGCTAGCTCCACTCTTTATTAGAGGTTTTGAATATTGTGTTTGTGTTTTTTGCCAGTTACTTTCCATGTTTAAAAATAGCAAAGTATCATGAAAAGATTGTTGTAGAGTAATTTCTTATTTCTTACATTTTATTTTTGAAGTTGTCAACCTCTGAGTTGACAGTGGAATGAATGTAATTCTAATAGTGTATATCACACAGACAGTTCATTAACTTGTATTCATATGAAGCCTGAATGGAGACGGAGGAAGAAAATGCCAGAATTAACATTCCATTTTACCATATCAGGATGAGAACAAAGGCAAACAGGTTCCAAGCAACCTGTGCCCAACAACCAGATGTGGATGGAGGCTGATTTACACTAAGGGTGTTGTTGAAAGTATTCAAAAGTACCTAAAATATCCAGGTTTGACGTTCTGCCTTCTCATTTAATATGACCACAGTGATTCTTCATTCCAAAGGTCCCTTCCCACAGACATCAGATTGGGATATTATTCTGGGATTTTCTAAACCTCATTTACATTCCTCCCTATACAACTTTGTTCACTAACCAGTTTGACACGACTGTACCTTTTATTTCAAGCCATAGTCCTCCCTGTGACTGGCTTTTTCTGAAACTGATGAACTATACTCTTGCATTAATCTGGAAAAAATAGCTGATTTAATGTTTCAGCTTCACTTAGCCTCCTTCCGAGGCAGAGCGAAATTTAGTAATGCTCTTACATTGGCTTTTTGGAAATACAGTGATGGTGAGCACTTTAGCTATGATTAACCTTTATACGTAATCTTCTCTACTGAAATCATTTTATCCGTGGAGGACTTGCTAGAGGTTTTTTAAAAGTTGCTATTTATCTACCAACAATCTTTTTGCTTAAATTTTCTTTCATGCAGCATTCTGAAAAGAATGATTGTAGGGTCAATGGTAATAAAAATGGTTTCATGAAAAATAAGATTGCAGAAAAGTAAAAATGGTAATTGATACAAGATATCTTGTCCCTGCATTCATTATAATCGCTAGAACGGGTTGGCAACCTTTCAGAAGTGGTGTGCCGAGTCTTCATTTAATCACTCTAATTTAAGGTTTCGCGTGCCAGTAATACATTTTAACGTTTTTAGAAGGTCTCTTTCTATAAGTCTATAATTTAGAACTAAACTATTGTTGTATGTAAAGTAAATAAGGTTTTTAAAATGTTTAAGAAGCTTCATTTAAAATGCAGAGCCCCCCGGACCGGTGGCCAGGACCTGGGCAGTGTGAGTGCCACTGAAAATCAGCTTGCGTGCCACCTTTGGC